CTTTATATATTTTTTTGAAATACTGGATTATATGGATTAGGGAAAAACTCCACAAAAGGAAGATTAATAACTTTCACTGTTTAGAATTAGTTACTTTTCGCTCTCTTGTTCCCCTTGGAAAGATTGTTTGATGGGTCCTAAAGTATGAATTCATTATATTATCTTTTAGCAGGTCTTAACAATGTCACTTGCTCTATAGAATGTTCTGGAAGCGAGTCAATTGGACATGAAAACTCAATTAAAGAACCGCATGAAGGTATGATGTTTGAAACTGAGGATGCTGCAAGGGCATTTTATGGTGAATATGCAAGGGATGTAGGATTTGTCATGGATGTAATGTTGAGCTGTCCATCAGTGATGGAGGGAAGTTCTATTGCCCATCATTCTGGATGTAATGAGGGAGACTTTTGTGCTAATAAGTACAATCCACTTCGACTTGTTGTAAACCAGCATCCAGGCTTAGGAGCAAGGTGTCAGGCTATGATGACTGTAAAGTCTGACAAATCTGGAAATTGGGTGGTCACTAGATTTTTGAGGGATCACAGTCATCCACTTGTAATTTTCCCAAGAGAAGTTAGCTATTGCATGGTGAGTACTTCTTTGAAACTATAGTGAAGCTTATTTTTCCACCTTTTCCTTTCTCACACACTGACTGGTTATTTTTTAAGCATGATGAAATTAATTAAAGGAAAAGGTAAATAATAATAAATATAAAAGGTGCTTGGAGATGAGCAATGTTTCAATGACTAAAAGCATAATACCACGTGAAACTGTCATACAGACTGAAAGTACAGAATAAGTCGTAAAGTCTGTCATTATGCTTATGTATGATGGGAGTGATCCTAAATAGGACTGGGAGAGAGCTGTCAAAGATTTTAGAGATGACATATTTATGGTTTTTTTGCTCTTCAGATCAATTTCTTTGCCAATGGAAATTTTAATGCATAGCATAGCTGACATGTTTGTTATTTATTACCTTTGATCTAGGTAATATGACCTATTCTTATAATTTAGACTGACAATTAAGCTCGTGTCCTTCTAAAAGTTATTTAATTTAAAAGTATATACATATATATATATATATATATATGTAGAATGATTCAGACTCTCTAGCATTTTAGAAATTGCAGATATGATGAACATGTGTATGTGAAGAAATAAAATGGAAGGGCCAGAATGTACTATTAGGATGGATCTATATTTTTCTAGAGTGAAATTATGACAGACTTAAGCTATTTAACCATGTTATGTGTACATAATCTAGTATTTTGGATACCAAAAAAAAGACAAAAAAAAAAAAGGAATACTATTACCACATGGGAATTTTTCACTGTTTATGGATAACATTAGTATTTCAAAAGTCTGTCAGAGGCATATCTTTGCCAAAAGAGTGAAGTAGGGTTGCTCATTCTAACCAAATAAGTGTTTTAGGGAAAATAGAAAAGTTCCTTTAACAGAAACAAAATTAGGTGAGGCACTCACTTTAGAATTTGAAGGTCATGAGCAAATGATCTTATTATAGACTACAGACATTAAAATGCATTTGATGGTGGAGACAATGTCTATTCCTCCCCCCCCCCCCCCTTCTTTTTCCTTTTGGGGGTGAGAGATAAGCAGAGGGCAACAGGTTGAAAGACTGAAAATTCTGAGGGGTTTTACTGGTAATAAACTTGACTGAGGATGCATAAGATATTTAGATGAATATGTTAGCTAAGTTGGGGTTTACATGCATATTTTCAGGTCTTAGATCGTAGATGCATTGAATCACCCTTGTGGGTACCATAGAATTCAATTCAGAGGACCATTTATGTTCATTTGATCTGTGCATAAAGTTGGACATAAGCTGAGGCCCAGCTAAAAACAATTGGGAAGGCAATGTAGTTGAACTTGACCAATCTGGTAATTGAGTTGTAACAAGATTTGTAAAGAATAGGTATCTTTACTCGTAATCTTCTTGTTGGGAGTTTGTAAATGCTATGGTTGGTATTCAATATATTGTCTAATCCATGATATGGAGTACCGTTTCCCAATTTAGTTTCTGCCCTGCTTGTATTCAGTTAAAGTTGGGTACGATAGCACATCCAGGGTCTTTCTGTTTGGTTTTATGTTGTAGTAATGAAACTTTGCATTTTTCTTCACTGTTTCTTATCTATATTTACTTTATTATTTCGTCTTTGCTGCCCATAGATGCAACTTCTGGAACTTCAGAGAATTTAGAAAATAATAGTTATTAAGTCCCTGTTGGACCTTCATGTTTAGCACTTGTATAAGCCTAGGACTTTTTTATGTAGTCGTCAGGGAAGCAAGTTTTAAAGCTTTACAAGATGCAATTAGTTGTTCTCACAAAAGAACGAAAATAAATGGGCAATACTAGGATCTGGAACAAGTATTCAAACATATGCAAGATAGCTAAAACTGTTCAAATGATGACTGCATCAGGATCCAAGTAACATGCTCATGGAAAAATGAACTTCAGTGTAATTTGTTTTCATGCAAGTCATCAGCGAGGGAGAGAAGAAAGAGGACTGTTCCATGAACTCATTTTGACAGAATCAATGGGCAGTGAAAATTAACTGCTATCATAACTTCAATTCACAGAAGACTTGGAATGGTATAGGCATAGATGTTGATTGTGTTGTGAGTTTGAATGGTATTCCCTCTGTGAGAGTATTCAATATTGGTAGAACTGTTGGTTGAACAGAGAACATGCTTGAAGACTTGGAACATGTCCTAAAACTACTGTAAACTGACTGAAAAGGTGTTGAATTACTATCTTACTTGAACCGGACTTTTACACTGAGTATTCATCACTTCATCATCTGTGTGCCAAAAGATCAAAACAATATTTTGTGAAGTACAACTCTGCCCTTTTAGATGATGAACTGCTATTGACATAACTAATCCAGTCCTGTTGGTATTCCCAAATGCATAAATGATTTCGATTATCCTTTTTATTTTCTGTGAACTAGGATGCGAGTATACTGTTTAACAAATTCAACATCTTATCATTTAGTATTTTTCTATTCATTTTGTAGGATGATAAGGACAAGAAGATTCAGGAGCTAACATCCGAGCTTCGAAATAAGAGACGGTTGTGTACCATGTATCAGGAGCAATTGATGTTATTCATGAGGGAGGTTGAAGAACATATTAATCAATTATCAAGAAAAACTGAATTGGTAGTGAAAAATCTAAACAAACTAGACTGCTAAAAAAACATTAACTGCATTATAGATTGCACATGCTTAGATTACTTTTTTTGGAAAGAAAGGGAAAAGAAAATTATTTGTTTGATGCCTGATTAATCTCTCTTTTTTTCTCTATTGCTTTATTGTGTAAATTGCTCTAATATTTTTTCTTTTTATTGCTCAAATCTCATTTTAGGTATCCTTTTTTTTTTATTTGTTTATCTTTTGAGATGTAGAGTCTACAACTGAGCATTGAAGATTGTAGCTATTGTCTGTACATATAATCTTTCCAAACTATTCATAGCATTGATTAGCCAAATCTGCAAAGTTGTTCCCATTCCATGCTGGAACATGTTAACAGATGACTGTTCGTAAGTCTTTCCTGCCTACATCTCTTCGAAACTTTTATTCCTTTCATTCCATCCCAAGTTTTCATGACATTTTGTAGATCCTACCCTGATATTTTGCCCACTACTTTCTCGAGACCTCTGCAGCTAGTACTTACAGGTTTTGAGGACCTGCAGTTGCACCCCTGTAATTGCTACCGAAGATGCCATGGCCTAGATTTGGGCACATAACTTATATGTAACAACAGGTGGCCTAGATCTTGCCACACAGCAAGGTTCCCAGCTTGGCTATTAAGTCTTGTTTGGTGCAATTGTAGACAATCTCAGAAACGGTAGACAAACCATTAAGTCTTGTTTGGTGCACTTTTCTCATGGGATTGGTTGAAATTTTGGCTGAGAAGAATTTCAAATTCGTACAACTCTAATATACTTCATATATTGGTGCTAATTAAAGCCTATGTGATTGACAGTTTCCACTGCACTATGTGATGTAAACTTTCAAAAAGCAAATGTATATTATCACATAACTTCCATGTATGATAGGTACTCGTGAACAAGGTTAGCAATGAGTCATGTCATGTTATACAGAGCTTATGGTAGGTACTAAAGTGCTGGCAACGAGTCATGTGATCATATTTGTGTTAGAAAACCTCAATCGGGACGTAGTCCATTATCTTGTCACGCCTTCATCGTGGATGTGTAGAATTAAATGCAAAGTAAAGTTTGTGTGCTGCGTAAGTTTGCGAAGTAAGAACAATTGGCTAGAGAGATGAAAGTATGAATCTAGAGAGTTTGGATGACTCATTGGAAAAAAGAGCTGTACCAATTGAGTAGTAGCACTAGAATACGTAGCGGTCGTCATGTCATTATTTTGCTTTGAGAATAAATAGTTTTTTTTCGTGAATTACTCGTGCCTTCTGCGATATTGAATTATTAAGAAATACTTTTTTTTTAGTTATTGAACTAGCATGTCAACACACAAGTTTGACCCGGTTGAATCTATTTACATTCGTATCATTAATAGTTTAGTCCCAACAATGATCCAACTGAATTGAGATCAAGCTAATACTCGTTAATTTGGAATCATGTTTGAGTCATAGTGTCGTAGCAAAAATTTATCGCACCTACTATGCAGTTGCACGTCTTACCATCTATTTTGAATTATATGCAAAAGGAAGTCAAAAGGATTCAAAAGGAGAATTACTTTTGAAGAAAATTCGAGGGGAGCTAAAGTGGATGCATAAGCAACGTCATACAACCCGTGCCCTATTGCAGACCAACCTGCATACAACGAGCCACAGGATTTAGAATGGAGTATCAAGGTTTGACAACAGAAATTCAATTCGCACAAGGACAGTTTGAGTACGAATTAATTTGGTAGAACACAATCTAGTATGTTTCCAGATTGATAAATCGGTTGGACATTTAGAACAACTCTAACATGCTCAAAGAAAGCTCACAAAGAAGCCAAGAGAATAACACAAGTGTTTATTGCTGGAAATTTCCTCTCCCCCATTACAAGGCAAAGAAACGGCTATTTATAACCAATACTACCACTACTAAACGAATTCAAATGGGATTAGGATTACATCATTTATCCTATCCATCGGATTGGACTTAAATCACCTAACAAATTAATGGTCCAAAGACATTCAAAGCTGGTCGATTTATTCAAGTGGCTAAACGTCTAAGACTTATTAATCAGATCCAACACAACACAAATATGGTCCGACTTTATTTAAGAGACAAACTATGCAAAAGACTAAAGAAAACCACGCGACCAAAAGACTCGTACTGAGTTAGATGCGGGCACACCTAACATGAATAAAGTCTTCTACCCCAAAACCTGACTCATTCGTTTTTGGGACTTGCAAACCATCTTCCATTAAGGATTGTTAGGCGGATCACCATCATTGTCTTCAACTTGAATCACAACTTTGATAGATTGAGACTCGACCCCTTCAATGAACTTGTGAACCCCTTCTTGTTCTTGAACAGCACGAACTAAAGTTTGAAGAGATTCCTTGGACTTTTTTGCTCGAGCTCGCATGACCAGACCAACAAGAACCTTCACCAGATCAAAACTAGAAGCTTGGACAGCTTGCTCCTCACAATCTCCCGTATCATTCCCCTTCTCTTGAGAAGGATTTGTCCTCAAATCACGTTCATAATATGTAAGAAAGGGACTTAAATTAGCAACGTTAAATGTAGCACTAATATTAAACTCACCTGGAAGATCTAATTTGTAAGCATTATCATTGATTCTTCTGGAAAGGTCCATTGCTCCTTGGAGATAGCTTACCATGCCTTTGAATTGGAAACCGTTCTCTGCGTAGGTGAAACCAAACCCAATCACTAGGTTCAGAGATCATCTTATGGCTGTCCTTGTTAGCTTGTTGAACATATTGAGAGGTTTTCTTCTACCTTTTCATGAAAATTGTGAATAAAATCTGCCTTTTCTTACCATCTAAATTAACACGTTCAGTCATAGGCAAATAAATCCATAGGAGTCAAGAGATTAATAGCATACACAAGTTCAAATAGAGAATATTGTTTAGCACTATGTACAGTCCTATTATAAGTAAACTCTGCATGTGGCAAACATTTTTTCTAAATTTTAGGATTCTTTTTAATGATTGCACGCAAAAGAGTTGACTACTTCAGTTTGACCATCTATTTGGGGATGACTAGAGTTGAAAAATACCATTTAGTACCCAAATTTCCGCTACAAGGACTTCTAAAAGTAGCTTAAGAATTTAACATCTAGATTTGACACAATAGTCCTAAGCATACTGTGCAACCTAACTATCTCCTTAAAGAACAAATCAACAATATGCAAAGCATCATCAGTTTTGTGTCATGGTATAAAATGTGTCATTTTTGAAAATCGATCAACAACAGCAAAAATTGAATCATGACCTTGCATAGAACATGGTAAACTAAGCACAAAATAAATCCATAGTAGTCAAGAGATTAATAGCATACACAAGTTCAAATAGAGAATATTGTTTAGCACTATTTGCAGTCCTATTATAAGTAAACTCTACATGTGGCAAACATTTTTTCTAAATTTTAAGATTTTTTTTAATGATTGCACGCAAAAGAGTTGACTACTTCAGTTTGACCATCTATTTGGGGATGACTAGAGTTGAAAAATACCATTTAGTACCCAAATTTCTGCTACAAGGACTTCTAAAAGTAGCTTAAGAATTTAACATCTAGATTTGACACAATAGTCCTAAGCATACTGTGCAACCTAACTATCTCCTTAGAGAACAAATCAACAATATGCAAAGCATCATCAGTTTTGTGTCATGGTATAAAATGTGTCATTTTTGAAAATTGATCAACAACAAAATCAGTCAACAACAACAAAAATTGAATCATGACCTTGCATAGAACATGGTAAACTAAGCACTAAGTTGATGAGAATCATTAAAGATCCAAACTCGTGTCATGATTATCTCTTGTTATCGTTTATTTAATTGAGTTTCCAACAATGTTAGTTATTAATTAGAGTTAGTTTGGAGTCTAAGTTAAGTCGTTAGCTAGAAAGAATAACGGCTAAGTCATGTGACCAAAAATTGAGCCAAATTAGGGTTTTAGAAAAGTAGTTAATTGTTTCGAAATTTGTTTAGGATTTTGAGTCATTTAAGGCTATAAATAGCCAACCTTATGCAACTTTTCAAAGTAAGGTGAATATGAATAAAATTGTGAGAGTTCTTTCTCTTTCTTGTTCCTTGGGAACGTCCATTGATACAAAGTGAGTCATGTCTCCTTTGTTCAAACTTTGGCTTATCAATTCAAGACCACGTTGAATTGTAGGGCTATTCTACCAACAACTCTTGGTTCACTAATTCATTAGGTTGTGGCTCGAGATTAAATTCAAGGTTCACACCTTGGTGGTTAGAGGGGTCGAGGTTTTTCCATTAACTTCGTTCCATAACCTGATCAAGTAGATTATTCTGCTGCTTATGCAATTTGTTTCTTCAACAGTGGGAGTTTGGGGATTCGAGTTCGCATCAGTTGGTATTAGAGTTTCGGCTCTTGATCCAGATTAATATCCTTTTCTTTTCTTATTTTCCTCTTTGTTCTTCTACCAAACCCTAACCAATTAAAAAAAAATCCTGTTCATCATTCTAGGGTTTGAATTTCATGTGATCACATTTGTTATCGCTCGTTCAATTCTTGTTTCTTGTTGAGTTATTGATGCGAACATAGGATCTAATGATTCATCTTCAAGTCTTATGTTTGATTGATGCATTGAAGCTCGTCAAGCTTAACAAATCCGGGGCCTTTCTTGGTTTAGTTTTTTCTTACTTTTCAGTCCTTTATGTTAGTCATTATTCAGGATTGTCATTTCTTTAAATTAATTCCAGCAATGGTTGATTAACTAGAGTTAGCTTGGGGTTAATTGAGCCACTAGTTTGGAAGAATAAACTGCTCAAGGTCATTGTCGCACCCCATTTTTTAATGAAAAAAATAAAGGTGTTTAGAAAAATGAAATTTTGATTAATTTTTTATTTGAAAAAATGATTTTTTTTTTGTTTTTAGAAAAATTAATAAAGAAATGGGCTTAAATGGGACTAAAAAGTGCGACGATTTTGACCCAAAAATAGTAGTTTAAAAAGGGTTTTTAATGAAAAATAGGAGTCATTATTTGGTATTGAGTTAAGATGTACCAAGTCACCTAAAATGAATTTTTAAACAAAAAATTAGAGAAAACCCTTTTTAAACGATTCTAAGTCTACGAAAATCAAGAGAAAAAGGGGTCGGAAGTCACATTTGAAGAAAGAGAAGGCAAGGATAAAATCCAAGGCACCCTTTCAACCTAGCCAAGGCTAGTTGCGTGATTTAGTCAAAAATTTTCTTATTTTAACCTAAGAATTTATCACATTTGGATGTCACTATCTGGATGCAAAACCTAAACCTAGGGGGATATCGGAAGGGTCAATATGTCCCTTCGAATTTTAATTGGTGCAAATCACATTAATTGCGATGCCCAAAAGTAACTCTTTGAAGAGGTCACGAATATGCAAAAAATATGAGACTCGGAAAAAGAAAAGAAAATAATAATTATACAGATATACATGACCTAAGGGAATGCATAATAACGGGTGCGGGGGACTAAAATTCGTGACTTTAATTTTCCCTTTAATAGAGGAAATACGAGCGTGTTAAGGTTAGAAAAGTCACACTTGTCCATATCCCATATTCGAGGGGTTGATTCTTCTATCAAATCAAGCAAATGATCTAACTTAGTTTTAATTTTCTTAAATGGAATGCAAGTCTAATGTCATGTTTCACACATAGGGATAAGGAATATATATATAGGGAAAATATGGGATAAGGGATATATACATATAGGAGGGGAGTGCCATGCAGAATGATAAGAAGACCCTAAAAGATAGAAAATATGCATGAAAATATAGTGATTGTCATGGCAACATAATCTAGCGTGTTGATGGTCCCTAAGGGTCTAGCGTTGGACTAACCCATGTCTATAAGTTTTCATTAGTATTGGACTAGTGAGTAATCGAAAAAAAGCGCCACAATTAGTGTTTGACTACTAGTGTGGTGACATCATGCATTCATTACAATCAAATAAATCATGTAAAATATAATAAAGCAAATAAACACATAAATCACATATAGTATATACCACATAAGCATGATATCTAGATGCAAGACTCTAAGAAAGCGAGTAACACGTAAACACATAGGCATGCAAAACACACAAAGCAAATAAAATCCTAATTATTACATTTGGGGCTCTAACTACAATCTAAAGGGGAAGTAATAAAATAAATACCTAACTATTCCATCTTGGCATTTAAATGTCTCAAATGACCAAAATTAAATTAAATAAATATACAAAATTAAAATAATAAAGTAAATAAAGAAATAATATGAAATAAAAAAATAAAATAAAAAAACTTCAAAAAAACATGCAATTTCACACTTAAAATCACCTAGGAGCACATAGGATCAAGTAAAATCGCAATAAAGGAGTAGAGTGTACCTCCCTTGAATTGTGACCTAAAGAAATGAAACGTTTCTTATTTACCCTCCAAAATAATAAAAAGGTCAAGACATTACTTTAATTAACAAATAATTGCAAGAAAATGAAAATAAACATGAAATTGAATCAATCAAATCATTCAAATAAAAATAAACAACCCATATTCAACAAATTAAAACAAACAAGGACCCAATTGAAAAAATTGAAGAAGTTTGAGAGGTCAACTTATTATTATTACTAATATTAAGGGTCTAGAATTAAAATAAAGTAAATTTAATGGCTTAAGATGAAGTCTACCAAAACAAAACTAAAATTCACAAAAAATAAATGAAAACCATTTGTTACAATTAAACAACAAAATACCTAAAATTTCACTAAAATCCAAATCAAAACTATAAATCTATTAAAAATTATTAAAACTCCAAATTTCATTCTAAAATTCACTAAAAATCTATCCAAAAATCACATTAAATCATATCAAAGAAAATTAACATGTTAAAGGGATAAAATTGATTAATTTTCTATTTTTTGGGCCATAGTAGAATAAGGAAAAATTTGTGAGGCGGAAATGCAATTTTTGGAAATTTTGGCATGCATCTTACGAAGAAGCTTTCTGCAACTTTTACTTCCGCGAGCTTCTTCCTCATTCTACCAGGTAGATTAAAATGCAAATCTCAAGCAAAACCCCCTAATTTATCAATCTAAAACCGACAAAACTTCAACCCATTCAATTAACATCATTCAAACACGATCATCTATCCCCAGAAGATCCAATCAAAGTAGCTTGACACAAAAATGCAGCAAAGAATCATTTGACCATGAAACAAACAAGATACTAGGAAAAGAACCCACAACTTCTAATGTCCGTACAATGAGTTTTAAAACAAGATCATGTAGTCCATTCGAAACCATGTTGCATTTCTGAGTTCATCAGCAGATTTCCATCAATTCTGGGTTTTCTCATGGAAGTTCACTTAACCCATTAACATTCCTATGTGTTTTGCATCATGAAAAGGAAGGCAGTAGTTAAAATCTTACTTCATGAACTAAACCAAACCAGAAACTTTCCAAAACAAAACTCTGAGCAACATCAGCAAAAGTTCCACGGAGAGACAAGAGAGCTTCGAAAGGCAACAAGCATGTATAACTTGGACCGAAACATTTTCTCATGCAAGCATCGAAAGGAACTTTCTCAATCCAAGAAGCTTTCTTTTCTTCTGTAACCATTCTTATGCAGTTCCTTTATTCAGCTTAGACGCATTCATGCAGAGCAAACCAAGTAAACCTTAACTGATTCGACAACCAAGCCCAAATGCAAGAACTAGGGACAAGGGAGAGAGGGAAGATAAAACTCAACAACATGATATGAACCTTTACTGAAACTTCAACCCAAGTTTCCAAGAAAACAAACCCAAAACAAAAGAATGAACACAAAATGCATGATTCACGCTCCCCTCAGTTTGAAAGCCAATGACTTTTGTCCATAAACTCCCAACAAGTAAAAAATGCAGTCACAGGAATGCAATCTTCCTCGCAGAAGCTTCTTATCATGTGACTTTTCTTCTGGGTTCATTCAAGTAACAAAATCCAAACAAATAGCCATCTTTCAACCCAAAACAACCAGATATGCATTCTATCATTAAGACCCAACCCCGGCTTCTGTGTTCCCAAAGATTTTCCAATCCAGATTATGCACAAAAAAACCCAAAAGAACGGTCATGAACTCCTACAGATTTCTGGGTTTCATGTCAAACAGAGCGAACCAAGATTCAAGCAAGCATCAAGCTTTATTCTAGCAATCAAGACACAGTAATTCAACATCCAAACGTGCGAGAAGAAATCAGAATAGGCACCAGCAAATCTTCTGGTGCAAAACCCATGACATGAAAGACGACAAAAAAAAAGTTTTTTGCATGGTTGATTGAAAACAACTTCAAATCGAGTTTACTCGCAGGTCTTACTCCCTCCTTTTTTGTGATGAAGATAAACAACAAAATCACAATATAAAACCATAGTTCCTGCTCCTTCCCCCCAACAGATTCACAAACAAGACGTACAAGGAGGAAGGAAAAAAGAAACAGGCATCGCGGCAAAGGTTTCAATACTTCTGACGTGAATTCTATAATCTGTGAACAGAAAAAAGAGTGAAAAGCATTACCTTTAGCCTTTTAAAAGGCAAATTGAAGCGTGAGGTGATCAGAGGAACAGGTCTTTGCTCAGCCAACCGTCAAAGTTCCCTTTTTCTTATCCCACCGCTCTCCTGTTTCTTGCTTGGTTTCTTTTCCGCGCCCCTTCAACCCTAGCTTTCTGGTTTTTTCTTTTTTTTTTTCCAACTTTCCCAAAGCTCCTCCCTTTTTTCCTTTTTTCCCCAAGCCCGCAACTTTTTCTTTTCTTCCTTGCTTTCTCTTCTTTTCTGATCACTCCCGAAACTCTCTCAATCTCTCCCTCACACTCTATCTCTCACTCTCCCGTTGCTTTTTTCCTCTGTTTGGTTTTTCTTAGCCCAAAACTCCTTTCCTCCCACTTTTTTCTCTCGTCTCGTTCTCCCTAAAACCCTAGTTTCTTCTCTGTTTTCCAGCCGTCGCTCTCTTTTCTACTTCTGTCCTCTTGCTCTGTTCCTTTTTTTTTGCTCTTGTCTTTCCTTTGCTCTTTTTTTAGCCGAAGCTTTTCTCCCTTGTTTTCTTCTTTTTCCTCTCTTTTTCGTAGCCGAAGATCCTTTTTTAGTTTCCGTAGCTAGTTTTTTTTTTTTTTTTTTGTCAAATTTCCTTAGCCCTCCATGTGTCCTAACACCTCACCTTCTAGGTGTTGTACTGTTAAAGAAATAAAGAGATACTTGTTCCTATTGCATATGCCCCACTTGGCCCTATTACATGTGTGCCATATATTATCTTGTATTTTGTGTTTTTCTCTTCCTTTTCTTTTTTTTTTTTCAAAAACCGGTTTATGATAAATGAATGCTAATTTCTAATTACCTTATAAAATGTCATTTCACTTAGCAAAAACTGAGTTTGAAGAAGATAAAATGGATCTTTATTAAGAATTTCCTTTTTCTGAAATTTAGTGTAAAAAAATGTATTTTTTAAAAAGAAAAGCGAATGATGAATGTTAATGTACCAAAATAAAAATAAACACCAATTACTATTTGCAACCTTAAATCAATTAAAATAAAATAAATAAAAATGAAAATAAAAAATAAAAAATAAAAATAAAAGAATAAAGCTAAAATTAAATTAAATAAATAAATAAAGCTAAAAAAATTGAATTAAATAAATAAAAAAAGCTAAAATTGAATTAATTAAATAAATAAAGTTTAAAATTGAAATTTTGGTGTCTACAGCTTGCCCCTCTTTGTTTGAGTTTTGAAGAGACTCTCAAGACAAAGACGTAGACACCAAATACTTACCTATATTTATTCTGCTGCGAGCTGAAATAAGCAAATATAAAAAGGTCAGTGGGATAAAATCCAAACCTGCCGATGTGAGAACCCGTAAAACCCTAATATTTTCCCTAGGGTTTATTTCCCCTTACTTGCATGTTTTCTGTATTTTCTGGCTTAGAAATATTTTCTTAGTGGATTTTATGAGCAATTATAGTTTTAAGATGATTTTCTAGTATTGGAGAATTTTTAGAAAATTAAGAGTAAATAGTGGACGTGGGACCCACTAGTGCGAAAAGTTCGGAAAAATTCGGCCAATAAGGTTAAGTTTCGGATACTGTGTAAAATTTATCGGGTGTTAAGTGATAAGTAGAGTGTGTGAAGTGATTGATGTGAGAGAGAAAAGAAAGATAGGAAGGCATTTAATGAGATGCCACATGTCACTTTCTCATTGGTTATGACTTAAGAAACACTATTCACCTTTTGACAAATTTTTGACTTTTGACCCAATTAGTAAATATCTTCAAAAATTCATTAAAATTCCCTCATTTTCTCTCCCCCATAGCCGGCCCTCTCAAGCTCCAAGGAAGACAAAACTCTTCAACATTCAAGCTTCTAACAAGTCCAAATCCACCAAATCAAGTGTTTAACTTAGTTTTTGCTCCATAAAATCTTACCTTTTAGTGATAGTGAGTACTTTAGTGAAGCTTGTTTGAAGGTTTAAGGTGTCCAACATCCTCCTCTCTCTTGTTTCTTGGTAAGTGATGCTACAACCTCTCCCCTATACCTAATGATGGTTATATTATGCTTAATGGTGGCATGAGTGAAGGAATATATGATTTGTTTCTTGATTTGGCTTGTTTTGGAGAAGTTTTTATTTTATTGGGAATTTTTCTGGTTTAATATGAATGGGATGTTGTGGCCTTGTATGATGAATTGTAATGGTTGATAATGACTCTATGAGGTGTATTGGATAGGAAAATGCAATCAATTTTGGATTTGGTGTGAAAATTGAAAAGTTAGGGTTCATAGAATCCCATTTCTGTCCGGTTTTAGATCACTGAGTTGGAGGCCGAATTGGACTTTTCTCAAAACATGAAAGTTGTAGGTATTGATGTGTTTAAAGTTCCTGTAAAATTTCCGGTCATTTGGATGAGTGTGGAGTGAGTTATGCCGTTTCTACTGTAGCTGTTCTGCATGGAGCAGAATGTGAAAACTGCGATAGTAATTGGCCTTTTTGATTGGGATTGGTTTGGATTTTGAAGTTGGTGTCTTCTGATGAAATGTAGCTGAATGTCTTAGCTAACATATGCCTTTGGAATTTCGGCAATTGGACTTGTATGGACTGAGATATACCGATTACAGTTTTCTGCGTTTTGCAAACCTGTTTTGGGGATTCTGGTATAGTATTTCGTATATTTGACCTAGTTGTGTTAGGAACGGGATTGAGTGGTCTTCTACATTATTGTAGCCCTGTTTCATAGCTTCGAAACGGTGGTCTTACACCCCCATCCGATAACCGTAGAGAATTTGACGCCATTACCGCATAATGAGTGTAAAACAGTTTTCTATTTGGGGCCCAAGATTAAGGCCATTTTCTAATTTCTGGTTTGCTATTATGCTCATTTATGTATATGAAACCCTATTGGGGTTGTGTTTAGCGTTGCTATATGACTCGTTATCGAGTCTCATTGTATGTGTTATATGTTCTAGGGCTTGAAGGTAGTGCACGACGGCTTGGTGATCGTGGTACATGAAATACCACTTACTTGCTTGGTGAGTATACCACTCACTAAATTGTTACTATGTGGCTTTGTCAAATGTTATGTGATGCCTTGATGGCTTACTCGAATATTGAAATTGATTAAGGTGAGGGTGTATGTGAGACCCCAGTTCGTACTACGTTGATATATTCATTAATTTGGCGGTAACGTTTGGTTTTGGGAGTATTTCGAAAACCCTAAGTAGGAATTAAGATTTAAACCCTAAGTTCCGGTTAAGATTGAAAACCCGTTTTCCACATTTTCTTTATTAGAAAAGTTTCCCAGATAATTTTTATGAGTAAATATAGTTTTTAGATGATTTTTTTAGTATCGGTTAGATTTTGAGAAAATAAGAACGTATATTGGACGTGGGACCCACTAGTGCGAAAAGTTCGGAAAAATTCGGCCAATTAGGTTAAATTCCGGATACTGTGTAAAATTTATCGGGTGTTAAGAGATAAGTAGAGTGTGTGAAATGATTGATGTGAGAGAGAAAAGAAAGGATAGAAATGCATTTAATGGAGTGACAAGTGTCACATTTCCATTGGTTGAAACCTAAGACAACTATTCACCTTTTTGACCTTTCTTACCCATGAAATAAATATCTCAAAAATTGACCAAAATTCACCATTTCTTCTCCTTCTTGTGGCCGACCAACATCAAGCAAAAGGAAAGGAAAAGCTCTCCAAATTTCATGCTCCAATCTTGCACAAATCAACAAACTAACCGATTAAACTTGAAACCTCTCCATAAAATCCCTTAAGTGAGTGATAGTGAGTTGTGTGGTGAAGTTGGTTGGAAGCTTAAGGTGCTAAGTGGTCTCTCTTCTTTGGTTCTAAGGTAAGTGACTATGGAACCCCTCTCTTCTATCTAAAGATGCTTAATAAATGATTTGTGGTTGTTATAAGTGTGATTTTGTGGACTATTTCTTGATTTTAGTCAAGATTGATGAAGTTTTCTATTTATTTGGGATTTTTGCTGGTTGCATATGATTACTATGATGTGGCTATGTATGATGATTGGAAATGATTGGGAATGAAGCTAGTTGGTGTGGATGGTAGTTAATTGCAGCAAATTTCTGGTTTGGAAGATAAATTAGCAAGTTAGGGTTTCATACCCTTCAATTCTGTCCGGTTTTGTATCTCTGGGTTAGAGGCCGAATTGGCCTTGGATTAAAACATGAAAGTTGTAGGTATTGATGTTTTTGAGGTGTCTGTAAAATTTCAGGTCATTTGGATTAGTGTAGAATGAGATATGACGAAATTACTGTAGCTGTTCTGCTTTGATCAGAATGCTAAAACTGCGATAGTAATTGGCCATTTTGACTGGAATTGGTTTGTATTTTGGAGTTGGTGTCTTTTGATGAAATGTAGCTGGATGTCTTAGCTAACTTATGCCTTTGGAATTTCGGCATTTGGACTTGTATGGATTGAGATATACCGATTACAGTTTTCTGTGTTTTGCAAACCTGTTTTGGTGATTCTGGTTTAGTGTTTGGCATTTTTGACCTAGTTGGGATAGGATTTGGACTGAGTGACCTTCTACATTGTTGTACCCCTATTTTTTAGCTTCGAAACGGTGGGTCTTACACCCCCATCCGATAACCGTAGTGAATTTGGTGCCATTACCGTATATTGAGGTCAAATACGGTTTGTGATTCTGGTATGTTTTTGGAAAGTTTATGGCTGGGACTTTGGCTTCACATTTGACTGAGTTACAAGCTTTTTGGGCTTGCGACCAAAACACCAAACTTATAGCCCTACATCAGAGCTTTCTAACGCCCTTGGAATTTCATGAATCGGATTTATAAAACCTGAGATATAGCCGAGCAAACATGGCTTGCCCGTGAAAATGACCATTTTCTGGTCAGATCTGTTTTGGTCCTGATGACCAATTTCCGTTCCGAATTTGGAGTGCCGACCTTCATGAAAGTTGTTCCATTTGGAATGAACTATCTAACTACCAATTTTCAGCTCTTTTGACCATGTGTAGCATAGAAAACAGTTTGCACTCAAAACTGACCATTTGTGCATTGGCCAGATTTCGTAAGTGATTGTGTTTGGCTCATTTGGGACTGAAGCCTCCAGTTTCAGTTCTGGATGTCTTCATAACAGTTGTTGTTCATCCTTTAAGCTTCGATATGGCATCTCATATGCCTTAATCCAATATTCGTAGCTCAACTTATGAGTAAACTAGAAATGAGTGTCAAATCTGCCGTTTCCGTTTCCGTTCGTCACGTTTACGTGCGCGCGTGTCGTTTTTGTCGTTTTGCTTGTTTTAGGCACGATAGTAGCCGTTTACGATATTATGTGACACAATCTTCTATTTCAGACGGTGGTGAGCTGGGCGGAACTGGTGGGGCCCACTACTAGCTGTTCATTTCGATCCGACTTCGTACTTTTGCTATTTCAGTTTCTGTGTAAGTATTCAGGCTAGTTTGGTGTGTTTTCTTTACTATGTGTTTGAGATATGTGAAAAGGGCACTTAGGCGAGGGTGTACTTTATCGCACTCGACCTAAACCCTAATTTGAACGTATAATTGTACTTGGCATAT